CTCATGTAACAATACGGGGGTAGCATTACACATTGAAGAAACAAGAAAAAGAAGAGCAAGAAGAACGTGAAATTCGACGGCGTGCAAGACGAGAGGCTTCGTAAGTTAATTCGTTTAAATCCAAATTTATAAAAATGATTTAAAATTCGTGAAAATTAAGACAGGGAAAATTTTTGTTTGTAGATTGGACAAGATTTCTACTGATGAATTTGCACCAACAATTTTTGAACAAGTAAATGCACCATTGAAACCTGTCATAAATTTTGAATGCTTTCGAAAAGTAACTTTTTAAGAATTGAAGTAAAATGAAGGAGTACTCCTTCCTTTATTATTAACGCCCACGTCTTCAGTACAAACCGCAAATTAATTTTTTTATTCAAGATTATTTAGCTCATAATACATTACCAGCAATATTACTACGAAAACTGTCATGAATTACTTTAAATGCCAGGAAAAAGTCAGTGAGCAAACGCCATCATTAACTCAATTATCTGCGCGAGGTTCATCATTATCGACACCTACACCGTAATTTTCAAATTAAAAAAATTTTTTAATCCGAAAATAATAATTGAAGTGAAATGCGAGATAATCAATCTCTCTCTTATCGTTAACTTCTACATCTTCTATTTTAAAATGAATAATTTTTAGAGATAATTTTTCCAAGAAATTATTTCTAGAAACCTGAATAATGTATAAGAATTAATTAAGTCAGACAGTTACATTACTTTTCATTTTTCGATCGATAAAACAAAATAATTGTTATTAAGGACGAATGTTATGTCTGCATGTTCCTCCCAGTTTGATATCCTTTGATATACGTTCAGAGATATTTTATGTAATTTAAAACATGAATATAACATGTGAAATCAGTAATTAAATTTATTTAAACCTATTCTTTTTCAGAAGCGTCTATTTAAGCCCTGATGTTGACGTAAGTTTGCTCGTTTTTCGAATCATAACCTTTCTAATAATTTGACTTTTCAATCATTTGAAGCACTTGAAAATTTTCTCAGTAATTTAATATAATCTAGTCAATTTTTTTAAGAAAAATTAGATTAAAATCATAATGAGTCATTTTCATTGTTGCAGAGAATGTCTTCAGCAGAGCCAGAAAAGTTAGAATATGCGGCATCGAATGATGTTCATTCCATTCCGGATCCGATAGTGTTAGAATCGCAGGTATAGTGGATAAGTTTGTAAAAAAAACGAGATCTCCTGGTTTCTTACATATGAGAATTTAAATCCGCACCCCAAAAAGCATGCAAATTATTAACCTGATAAGCTAATTGCGCATCATTTTGATTTTTAGATATCTAATCAGTTTTCTGTATACAATGTGCAGATAGTTATAAACAAAATAGTTGCTCTTCTTTCTGTATTTCAGAAAAAATCAGGAAAATCTAATGAAGTAGGCACATATCCAGATATTACTGATAAGGCATTGGAAACATCTGTTAAAAAGGTACTTTCAGTATCCCAATTCTTTCATAGATTATCATTTTCAATTCTTTTTATTTTTGATCAAATCAAATTTTGATCCAAATCACTGTAAGATATTTGCGTTTTCAAGAAATTAGAGGATTTTTTTTTCAAGAAATCAGCACCACTTAGGAGATTTCCAGTTCTGAGGCTAATCTTACTCAATAAGTCCCATTTGCGCATTTTTATATTTATGAATTATTTTTGATTCCTGCATTAGCATTATTATGCAAATAAAAGTAAGAAAATAAGTGAAACCATTGAGAACAAATATATAAATTCATAAATACTATTATGCTATACTGTTTTGCAGGAACATAGACATCTCCGGAAATTTATCCATAAAGTAATGAATTTTAAAAATTTATTAAATTAATACGTGGCTTTTAATTTAGCGAGTTTATTAAATAAGAGAATTATATGTTCATAAACTATAAACATTATTGTAGCTTTCAAATTCAAATCAAATAAGTCTTTTTTTTTTCAGCTTTTCACTTTAAAACATCGAACAGCAAAGGAAGGTGCAGTTGTCATATCGGTAAATCATATGCGCATTTTGTCAATATCCAAGAAATTAATATGTTTTATGAATACTTTTAGGATGAAACGTTGCAAACGACGCATGGATCATCAGAGGGATCTCGAGAACGAACAGAAGAGGAAAAAGAGAAAGAAAAAGAAAAAGCAATGGGACAAAGTGTATATTTTATTGTAAGTTGTCAAGAACTTTTAGTGAGAAGATAGATGTCAAAGGGTAAAAAAAATGGAAAAGTTCAAATGTCGCATTAGTCACAATAAATAATAATAATAAGCTAAGATAATACTATACCTGATCATTTTTAACTTCCCTTTACTTGTTTATTCCACAATTTTATACTCTTTCCGAAAGCAAATCTTACCGTCATATCCTTTAACGACATATATCATCTCAAAGTGGAACATTCGGAGGAAAAGGAGCAAATTGGGAATATTTGTTCGGTAATTGTGAGACTGGGATTGTTTAGCCAGATCTGAAAATGGAGCAAAATCTCACTGCCACAAGCGATATGAGCTATTTTGACATAAGCAGGAGAAGTGCTACATCAAAGAAAGGATCCGCAGAATTAGAAAGCTCAAAACGATCAGCTAAAACGGTAAAATCAGAGACGAGTGCCACAGAAAATGCAACAAAACAAGTGCTTTCATCGAAAAAATCTCTTCCTTCCTCTTCTCCGACAATGGAACCGGTAAGTAACTTGATGGTTCAGGCCAAGATATCAATCTAAATCATCTCACCATCTACCTTAGGTGATAAAACACCGGCAATTCATTTGTTAGAAAAGTTTTTCAGATTTCCGACATCAAACAGTTCATCACTTTCACTCTATATTTGTATTCTTTTTACTTAAGTAAATCAAAATATTCAGAAATAATATTTTTTTATTGAGAAAATATACAGTAGTAATGAATTAATAATTGAATTATGTTTAAAGAATATTGCAATAAGCCGATTTCATCGCAAAATAATTACAACATTAAAACATGGAGTTGGTGCATTTGGTAGTGGTGTAGCTTCAGCAACTGTAAGTGTTAAATACTTTGAGAGAGTATGGTTTGAATGCCATTCAAACTTGTCATTTCAAAATCTGTAAAATTTTAACATCACGATTAATTCAAAATTTTAAATAATTTCGAATTCACTGAGGTAGAGTGTTATCGTCTTGTATAATGAATATGTCGTCATTATGTCAGTTACTTACAATAACTATCAGCAAAAGTGATTTTTTTTTTGTCCCTATAAAATCAATTATAGCATTTATCACGGAAAGTGAAAGAAAGCGATGTAAGTAACAAAAATATGACAGTGGTGAAAGGATCAGAATCAGAAACCACATCATCAAGAGACACTTCAAAAAGAAAAAAAGATAAAAATAAGGCAAATCCATTGATCTAACGCATAATTTCTTTCAACAAAAGCAAAACAACAAGAAATTCACATTATATTTTAAGCTTTTTGACGATGTTTTTGTCCTACGTTTTTTCATTCGTTTCTCAGGTCTGCTGTTGTTTCATTTATTATCGAGGCAATTTTTATTGAAAACTTTCTTTCGAACCAATAAGTCTAATGACAAAGACCATATCTAAACTTCATATATTGAATGAACATACCTTTTACTACCGTGCAATTCAAGATAACGATCTAATTTTCATTATTCTTTCTATTCGATCCATCAAAATACGATGTTAAAAGAGTACTCATGCATTCAAAGTAAAATTCAAATGAAAATTGTACCAAAACTATATGAAAATTCATTTTTAGATGTAAACAAAACGTATTACATGATATCAAGAAATTCCATGCAGAGTTTTCAACATGTTTGAAAAATTAATGAAACAGACGACAAAGATCTAAACGACACATGAAAAGTTGCAAACTTAATGTGCATGGAACATTATATTGTCTTGCCAAGCATTATTTCAGTTAATGTGAAGGCATATATATATATATATATACATAAAATGAATGTTACTATGTGTTCATTGTCTAAGAAATATGCATCTTGCTTTTAAATAAAAATTAAGAAAGCAAATACAAATTTTCGAGCGAATGAAGTTAATTCGTTGCAATATATATTCAGTTCAAAAAGTTTTGTCTAACTATCTTTTTGAGTAATAACGCGATACCCAATCAAAATCCCAATCTTCCTGAAAAAAATGACAACTGCTGATATATACTAGCAATTATTTAAGAAATCAATTTTCACGTAATAAATATTAAAGAATCGTAGTTTGAAATCTTAATTTTTCATAATTTTTTTGCAGTGCAAATCTCTTGAAAAGCTTCAAAAAATGATACAATGAAGCATTAAAAATGAAGTGCTGGCTGAACATAAAAAACAGTACTTTATAATTCATGGATTTAAATAAGTCACGGAATAGTTGTCGAATAAACAAATAATCAGGTTCTTCATCAAATTTCAGGGCACGGCAGTAGTTGAGTGCTGTTGCGAATTGAGCAGGCAATCCATGACAAAGAATCTGAAATAAATGGAGTGAGAGATAATTGAATATAGCTTTCAACATTCAACTTCAAAAAAAAAAACTGAACATGATGGACGTAATTTTTTTGGTATTATATAACCGATTAAAGTTAGTAAAATTGAACTGGAACCAATTTAATCAATCAGGCATCTTGCCAATAAATGACTTTTAATGAATTTTGCAAAGCCTTGACTGACGTTCAAGCAAATGCGGATTTCAATCTCGATGTTTAGCAGAAATTACCTCTGTTGAAATTGATGTTTTGATTTCTAGAACCTGCTCGAGTTCATTAGACTTTTCACATATTTGCCAAGGCAAATTTCCTCTGAAACTGCTTCGTATAAAAAAAGAAAGAAAAAACAAAGAAAATCATGTCTCCAGTCACTGCGCATCTATTAACTTACTTAAGGAAATATAAAATTATATATATATAGGACTCGAGATCATCTCGTCTAGATGCAACTGTGCCCAAATGCCTGTTGAGAGATGCGAAACAAAGTGAACCAAAAAATTCCTGAAATTATCGAGTGTAATTATTTTATCAAAATTTTCTGAATTAAGTGATAATTAAGTACCATTCAAAACTAGATCACATTTATGGCATTCAAAACCTTTGCGATAAGTGTTATAACTAGAGATTCTATTAACCTACTATATTTTCTTCGTACGGAATATGTTTGCGACATCTACCAGAGATTTTAATATATTTCGATGAAAACTTCATATCCACCAAGTAAACTTTAGCGATATTCTCTTTGATGCCCATTACAAAAGTATCGGACTAAAAAAGTTTATTACATTTGTTTTGATATGAGTATTATTGTGAAGAAACCAAATGACCATGATTAGAAGTGCAATTAAATTGAGTTAACTTTAAAAACCATAAAAGAATCTTTGGATCTACTTGACTATTGTTTCACGAACAGAAAAAAATATTTCTATTTACCAGAAAGATATACCTTGATGAAAAATGTGCTACTTGAAATTGAAAAAGTCATACCGTAAGATTGCCATGAATATAACCTGAATCATGTATACATTGTATTCGATCCAACATTTGATCAGCAAGCATTAAAACTGTTTTCAAACTAAATCGTCGCTTGCAATAAATAAAAAGTTCTTCTAATGCAGGACCCATAAGATCCATAACCATTGTTTTGCATCCATCTATTATTCCAAACCTGAAAAAAAAATCAGCTGCCATTTATTAATTACATTACATCCTACTCCATACTTACATACATTCTTCTTTCAATATGAATAAAAACTAACCGTATATGTCCTGCTCGTCCATCTTAACAGTGAAACTTCAAGTCACCGTTACAACATATGCTATGCGTCTTCTGATGATAACAGATGAAGATAATAAAATATTGCTGATAGTAATTTGGTTGTGGAGACAGAAAGCAGAAAGTGCTGAAGACAGTGAAAGAGAGAAATGAAAAGAAGAATATCGTGATCATATAAAAAACAGAATTTGTCGCTAAATGACGATCACCATCAAAATAGAGATTATGAGAACCAGAAGAAATCTGTTAACTACGATACACTTTATTTCTGGCAGATGATGATAACATTAAAGAACTTAAAGGTAAATCTCTTAAATGGCAAAAATTGATGTCAAAATATAACATTACTCCCAATTACATTTATTGTTTTAAATTGAAATCCATTTAAATTGAAACTCTCACCA